GTACTACAAGGTCGCCAGTTCTCAGCTTCCAGCTCCCCAGATACTCCACGTACTACAGTTGTACTACAAGGTCGCCAGTTCTCAGCTTCCAGCTCCACAGATTGCTCCGCGTACTCAAGTTGTACTACAAAGTCGCCAGTTCTCAGCTTCCAGCTCCACAGATTGCTCCGCGTACTAAAGTTGTACTACCAAGTCACCAGTCAGTTCTCATCTTCCAGCTCCCCAGATACCCCGCGTACTAAAGTTGTACTACAAAGTCGCCAGTGCTCGCCTGCATTTCGCGCGCTCGACACGCACGATCTCCGCAGAGGGTTGCGCGGGCACCGGACAAATCGCACTCTCGCCTGCATTTCGCGCACTCAACACGCACGATCTCCGCAGAGGGTTGCGCGCGCATGGGACAAATCGCACTCTCGCCTGCATTTCGCGCACTTGACACGCACGATCTCCGCAGAGGGTTGCGCGCGCATGGGACAAATCGCACTCTCGCCTGCATTTCGCGCACTCGACACGCACGATCTCCGCAGAGGGTTGCGCGCGCATGGGACAAATCCCACTCTCGCCTGCATTTCGCACGCTCGACACGCACGATCTCCGCAGAGGTTTGCGCGTCAAGTCTCCAAAACGAGCGTTTCGTATACGAGACTTCCTCAAAAACTCACACGTCAAAGTCTGCAAAACGAGCGTTTCGTATGAGACTTCCTCCAAAAGTCAAGCGGAAACACCCATCGGAGCACACACATCGCAGCCCTGCATGCCAAGCAGTTTCGCGATTCCAGCCCCTCCAAACAACATCCGCTCACACGCCAATCCCAATGGGACAGCGACATTCACCTCTACCACAACTCACAACCTCACGATTCCCTGCGCCTGCCACGAATCTTTCCCCATCCACACGTCTAGAGTCTAACGCGCACAAAGTACTGCGCCTGCCACGAAATGTCACCTCCCTCACACCTCGCAACCTCACGATTCCCTGCGCCTGCCACGAGAATTGCACTTCCACGCTTCAAAGCCCGCACGAAGTCCTGCGCCTGCCACGAAAAGTGACAATATCATCGCATGTGAGCTTCAACAAAATTTGCCCCACACCACACGTTTGGAATGATTTCGACCCGTTCAGAGCACACTCCCATCCACCAAAATCGCCATTCAGCTGAGACTTGTCACGAAAACAGAGCTTCGATGCCACACCCTGAAACGCAAATCCCAATGGCACGGCCACATCCAACACCCCAAAAACACGACTCTCCAAACGCTAATCCCAATGGAACTGCGGAGCAATCTGCCGATCTCACAAAACGCTGCACCTGTGCAGCGAAACGCATCACGTTTCTCGCGCGACATGTCCTGCTCCTGCAAATCCCAATGGATTAGCGGCGCCAACTGACACGTGACACGTCCATGCAAAGTCACTTGAAAAAGCTTCCCCCAATGGCAGCAAATTTGAGACGCGACGACGACGACAGACGACGAGAGACGACGAGAGACGACGACAGACGACGAGAGACGACGACAAACGACGACACGACGCAAGCCATGCAAACATAGCTCCAACCCCCAGACCCCCAACTATAAACGGGAACCCTTCGCTACGCATTCGGGAAAAACATGGAAAAACCGCTTGCAACATCTTGCAACACTATAATGTTCTAAGTTAAGCAGATTCAAGCAGGAAGAATGCAAACATACTGAACAAGCTAACCTTGAAATTGTATGTGATGTTGTCCTTCAACATGATTCCTTTGAAGCAGCTCAGCTCCACGACTCCAATGTTGTCTGGGTCCGCCTGACAGGATGAAGCTGATCTCTGAAATGCAGGTCAGGTGGGCCATAAAGGCAAACACAAATATGCAATACCAGTACCAGTTCTTGACAGATCCTCTGACAATATGATAATATGTGATATCACTTATGCTGTACATTCTGTTGTCCGCGGTCCGCCATGCCCGCCATGCCTCTTGCAGCAACTGCTGCAGATCTTCTTTAGAAACGTCTTCTCCGACTTCGGTAAGGCAAATGAAAAGGTCATTGTGGCATAGAAGCCCATCGCAATTCCTGGGGGTTTCGGTCACGTGCGCCCAGGTGTGCCCAGGTATCTGACCATTGACACTCACAATAGCCATTCTCATCACTACAAGGGTTGGGAATCTTAATAAAAACTGTCTAGAAGTCGAAGCGCCTTCAAAAAGTCTCACCATTCACAGTTCAGTCGTTTTGTTCAATGACCTTCTGCGTTTTCTCTCTCTTACGTACAAGATTTTGGTGCAAAAGTGGATGACAATGTGAAGGCGACGATGATAACGATATCATGTCTCAAAAGCATGCAAGTTTCTGGGTGGCATGCATTCTGTCGGCAGAAGGTTGTAACCCTGCCCTTTCAACCATGCACATCTTGAGTTTCCAAAGTAAACCAATTAGGACTGTACTCAAATCAACTGAAGCAAACATGGGCGATGAGCCAAATAGAAACCAGAGCTGAGCAGCTGGACGTGACCCGTGCTGCCTTCTGCTTTCGCTTGGCACACAGGGACAGCATCCCAGAAAGAGGGCAGACTCATCAGCACCAAATCAAACAAATGCCAGAATCCGAGCACTTGGGCTAACAGTGAGATACGGTGAGTATTTTTCAAAGGCCACAGAATACATCCTCCTCTTTGCAATGACATTATAATATTATATACACAGCGCATTGTACGTGTGTATAATATATATTTTTTTTTTTCGATACTGGTACCCTAGACTGATTACCCACAAAGAACGCTTAGGCCTTGGCCTTCACATGGAGCGGGTGTTGTGGTTCCCAAACGTGATGCCGGCCCACATGGTCAAAACCAAACACATAACAGGAAAATGCTGCAGCTAATCTTACATGTCAAGAGTAGCAGCAAGGCCCTTGTTTTGATGATCTGTCTTATTGAGTCAATCCCCTGGCAGGGTCTTTGGTGCCAAGAATCTGATCCATGTCTGCAAACAGCTGCTCATGCCCTTCACGCTGCTCCGCTAGGGCTTGTAGGCTGCTTCTCACCAGTACATTAGCGGAGACGAAGCGCCTGAAGGAGTTGCCATGAGTTGCCCGCATGTCACGTTTCCCAAAAACACAAGTTATGCATGGCGTTTGGAATGTGTATTGTATTGGCACAGGTGTTGATGGTCGATCTGGTTTCGGGTATCACTGGGTGTCACCTCGTTTTCATGCTGAGCGGCCGGAGGCGCTGCAAAATGCCCCCAGGTATTTCAGCCCGTGGCAGTTCCACGACATAGAACCAGTCATGGTGCAATGCTTCTTCGGCGGTCCATCGAGATTCAGGATCTCTGCGCAGAAGGCGGCCGCACAAACCTGGGCCATTGAATGCCACTGGTCACTTTAGAAGCACTGACACAGCCAATCCGGATGCTATAGGAACACATGGGAAACAATGAACTGAACAATGTGGGGCCTCCGTGCTTTTGAATTCTGTGTCACATGTTTCACATCTCTCGAAATCAGCCCACGTATGTCCAAGTGGCATCGTGCCTCATCAGAGTGCCCCGCCCAAATCTGGGCATCAAGAGGCCGTCTGTTTGGAGACTTAGTGCCTAGCACTCGGCTGATGTCACCTTAAATTGCGTTAAAAAGGCGGTCAGTGAAAAGCCAGCTTAGTCCTTACCCTTCACCTACGGAAACGTACGGTGCTCGCCACGCTTGAACTCGCTCGATACAAGAGCAAAATTCAAGCTGGGAATCAAGACTTGAAGGACATGTCGAACAAACATGCAAGCGAACTGTGACACAACTTGCCATCAATTCCAAGACTCAGATCAACCCCCTCATGAGAAGTCCCAAGCCCCATATGTCACCCTTGTGAGGGCCCACTGCAGCTCCAGCGGTAAAGGAGCGGACGCTTCCAAAGTCCTTGGCAAAGATGTTGACTTCAATCACGAAATCCTGCCATATAATTGCTCTACGTTGTTACATGATACATGCTGTTAAACGATCTTGTCAACTTGTCTACGTGTCCATCACATCTGTCACATATGATCTACTGTACGACTCATTCATCTGCGAACGCTTGCGATGCACACTTTGGGGTGGTCCCGTGGCCCATCCTTTGGAAGTTGAGATTCAGCCAGCTTCGCCGAGCATTGTTCCAAAGGAGCATCTGCAGTTCTCTTCAGCAAAAGGATGTTTCGAGCCGCAAAGTCCGAGTGCGCCATGGATCGCTCATGCAAGTAGTGAATGGCTCCGAAAAGCTGCCGCATAAGGACTGCTACTGAAGGCTCTGGAAGCTGGTTCTTACTTGAAGCCTCCAGGTAGTGCTGCAAGTCACCGCCTTCACAAAGTTCCATGACAAAGTAGAAGCAGATTTGGTCTTCGATCACATCGAAGAGGCGGCCTCAGCTTGCGATACTGCATTTTCTGATTTCCAACGTTTGGGGCCTCAGGTCTTTGACATTAGGAGCAAGGACGCTACTAGGGGCTCCTGGTCTTACTAAGTTATATACTAGGAGCAAGAAGCTACTAGGAACAAAGGGCATCGCTACTAGGAGTAAGGATGCTATTAGGGTGGAGGCCATCGCTATTAGGTCGTGTTTGCGGTCTTAGATGCACAGGTGGGGGTGGTCCAAGACGGACATAGTGGCAGCCTCCTTGCGGAACATGCTGTCATTGTCCTTGCCTCAGGCGGACAACAAGAAGGATTGAAGTGATAACGGGGATATTAGACGATATTAGTAGCCCGAAGAAGACTACTATGACATGCAGACATTCAGTAATGTTCGAACTGTCCTACCATCAGTTCATAAGTGGTTTTAGGATATTATAAAAGTAATTAACTGCGATCAAAAAGTATTATCACTTGCGGTGTCAGGTGCAATGCTTTGTGGACCTGGCAAAGCAGGTTTCGTGGGTGTAGCCAGTTGCGAAGCTCGAAGTGCAGAAGTTGTTGGTAAACGCAATGCTTTGCGCACGTCTAAGTGCAGATTTCGTGGCAGGCGCAGCACTTTGTGAACCTTGAAGTGCAGATTTCATGGCAGAGACAGCATTTTGGGAATGACGACATGTAGATTTCGTGGGCTTCGCTTGGGGCTTCGCTTCTTTAGAGTTTGTTTGGGCTTGGCTTGGAGCTTTCTTGGGGGACTAGAAGCAGCGGGAGGGGGTTCGGGGGAGGGCACAGCGCCTCCCCCGCAATGCAAACAAAGTATAGGCAGCATGTTTCAAAGCAGCAGCGGCAGCAGAAGGATAAAGCGATGTAGCAGGAGAGCGAGACAGAGGGAGAGAGGGACAGAAAAAAACAAAGGAGAGAAGCAGCGAGGAAAAACAAAGAGAGGAACTGCTAGGGCGTATTTGCAGTAGCGGCAGGGGGGAGGGACCCATCCGCGCACTCAGTTTCGCTCATCTGCGCACAAAGATTTGTCTCATCTGTGCACACAAGCCTTTCGCTGGACTCATCTACGCACACAGGCTTTTTGGTGGCCCTTTCAAGCTCCCTGGGAAACACACGCGCTGCGTTGCAATGGCTTCTTCCTACTCTAAATTTCACCCTCGGGTCGACCACAAAAGGAATGCTACGTTGCAATGGCTTCTTCCTACTCTAAATT